TTCAGGGATCGGGGTTGGGCAGATAGCCTCAGCCCCCTTTTTAAAAGACCATTGTATTGCTCAATCATCCCTGCTGCCTGGGGATGATATGGCATATGTAATTTCCACTGAACAGACAACTGGGAAGCCCACTTCTGAACCTCATGTCCAGTAAAGTGGGTTCCACTGTCACTCTCTATGACTATAGGCTGGCCATACATGGCCGTAAGGCTATTCAGTGCCTTCACAGTGTTTACCTGGTTTGGGGCCTTACAAGGCCATACAAACAGAAGACCAGTAGCTGTATCAACAGCAGTGAAGATGTATCTGAAATTCTCTGACCTTGGCAGTGGTCCAACAAAGTCCACTTGCCATTGATTCAGGGGCACCTTTCCTCGAGTTATTTGCCCGTCTATATGGAGTACCTGCCAGGGGTGTGGACTCTCTTGAGCACATACTGGACAAGCATGACAGGCATTCACTACATCTTCCCATTTTATAGTCAAGGCCCCTCTTTGAGCCGCCATCCACATGGTTTTGCTGCCAGCACACTGCATTCATCGATGTAACCATTGGGCTACATCAGTAGCTGGGGCTCTCTCCAGCTATCTTACCTTAGCCAAGGCATTGGCTTCATCATTTCCTGGGCTGGCTAGGGGGAAATGTCCTGTGACATGAAAAAGGGTCACTGCTTTCTCATGCCCCAATCCCATAACTCTTGCCACATGGCTTGTACCAAAAGGGGTCGGTGGCCTACCAAACACCGTAGATATTTCCAAGTAGAAATCCAAAAGGTTAAACCTTTGTACAGCCCAGCTGTCAGTACAGATGGTTAATGGCCCAGGCTCATTTTTTATTACCATCCAAACAGCTCTCAATTCTGCCCATTGATTGCTTTGCCCTGTGACATTTTCATACCACATGGTATCTGTTAAGGGCTGGACAGCAACAGCTGTCCATGATGCTAAGGGTCCCATGCTAGAGCCATCTGTATACCGAGCTTGTTCTGTGATAGGTCCCTGTCCCTCATGGAAAGGTATAGCCTCCACCTCCATGGGTAACAGTTGTGTCAAAGTTTCCTCCACAACCTCTACTGGGCCTAGCACAGCTTGCAACTCTTTGGACAGAGGACTCATTGACACAGTGCTTCTTTGTTACATGCTCCCCATTTAGACAGAGTGGGAGTCTGAGCTATGCCCACTTTAGGGTTGGTTGTCCATGTGTGCAGCCAACATAATATGGGATATGTTGTCCTTACTAGGACTTTGGCAGTTCCTGTGATAGCTTCAGTGGCCATCAAGGCAGAATATACAGCTACTAGCTGTTTTTCTATTAGAGAACAGCGTACTTCAGCACCCTTCCAGAGCTGAGTCATGTGGTCAATTCATAAGAGGGTATAACAATAAAAATGTATATTCATCTACTAATAGAGTCTCAAAATATATGACGCAAAACCTGGTAGAACTGCAAGAAGAAATAGATAAATCCACCATTTAGTTGGAGATTTCATTACTACTCTCCCAATAATTGGTAGAACAAGTAGTCAGAAAATCATGAAGGATGTAAAAGTCTTGAAAAATGCCTTGAACTAACTTGACCTAATTAACATTTATAAAACTCAACAATAGCAGAATACAATGCTTTTCAAGTACACAATGAATATTTTTCAAGGTAAACTTTTTTCTGGGCCACAACACGTTTCAATAAATCTAAAAAGATTCAAATCATACAAAATATGTTCTATTTAATTCTGATGGAAATGAATTTGAAACCAATGAGAAAAAGATATCTGGGAAATCTGCAAATATTTAGCAATCAAATAACATACCTCAAATAACCCATGTATCAAAGAAGATATCAAAAGAAATTGGAAAGTAGGTTAAGCAAAATAATAATGAAAGTACAGTAGATCAAAATGTGTGGAATATAGCTAAAAGAGTACTTTGAAGAAAATTTAAAGCATTAAATACGTATATTATAAAATAAAGATCTGAAATTAATGATCTCAGCCTCCACCTTAAGAAACTGGAAAAAACCTAGCAAATCAAACTCAAATAAGCACAAGAAACAAAATAATAAAGATAAGAACATAAATAAAATTGGAAACAGAAAAACAATACAGGAAATCAATGAAACCAAAAGCTGTTTCCTTGAGAACATCAACAAAACTGATAACCTCTAGTCAGGTCAGGACAAAAAGAAGTAAGGCACGAACAAATATGAGGAATAAGAGAGGTGACATTACTATAAATTTTGCAAATATTAAAAGGATAATAAGGAAATATGAAGAATTTTATGATGAACAAATTCCTTGAAAGATGATATTAAAATTTACTCAAGGAGAAGTAAATGACCTGAATAGCACTAAATTTATTTAAGAAATTGAGTAGGTACTATAAAAGCTTCCCACAAAAAAATCTCTAGTCTTAGATGGCTCTACCAGTAAATTCTACTAAACAGTTAAGAAGGAAACAATAAAAATTCACACAAACTCAGAAAATTTAAATAGAGCAAATACTTTTCAACTCATTCAATGAGGTCAGTATTACTCTGATACCAAAACCAAAGGCTTTACTCGGGAAAATTACAGACCAATATCTGTTATGAATATAGATCCAAAAATTTCTAACAAAATTTTAGTAAATAAACTCCAAACAATAGATAAAAAAGATAATATAGCATAATCAAGTAGGGTCCATCCCAGGAATGCAAGGTTGGCTTTTCGGATCCCACATACAGACTGGTTCCCGCTCACTGGCTGAGCGAGGCGCGGGAGCAACGCCAAGGGTTGCAATCCCGTTGCCGGTCCCCGGTCCGGTGCGGGGGCAACACTGAGGGTTGCGATCCATTGCCGGACACGGAAAAAGACAAAAGACAAAAAAAAAAAAAAAAGAAAAAAGAAAAAATCTACACAATGTTAAATTTAATGGTAAAAGACTGAATGTTTTACTCCTAAGATCAGGAAAAGGCAAAGATGTCCAGTCTTAACCACTTCTATTTGACATTGCACTAGAAGTTCTAGCTGGAGCAATTAGGGAAGAAAAATAAGAGGAATCCAGATTAAAAAGGAAGAAGTTAATTTATCTCTATTCACAGATGACATATTCTGTATTAGAAAATCTTAAGGAATCCACATCAAAAATTTTTTAAAAACTAATGGTTGTGAAAATTAATAAATTAGTTCATCAAGATTGCAGGACATAACATCAATATACAAAAGGCAATTATAATTCTATATACTAACATCAAAAATAAATTGGAAAAAAAGTAACACCATTTACAATATCATCAGAAATATGAAATACTTAAGGATAAATCTGACAAAAATGTGCAGGACCTGTACAATGAAACTACTAAGCTGAGAGAAATTAAAGAAAACCTAAATAAATGGAGACGTGTTCATGAATCAGAGGACTCAATGTTGTTAAAATGTCAATTTAGATTCAGCAGACTCTGAACGAAATCCCAGCAGGTTTTTTGTAGAAATTGATAAACTGATTTTAAACTTTATATGGAAATGCAAAGACAGAATAGCCACAACAACTTTGGAAAAATAAACAAACACAAGATTAGAAGACTTATACTGCCTGGTTTTAAGACTATGAAGCTTATATGTGGGGGAAAAAAAAGAATCATATAAAAGCTACAGTAATGAAGACAGTATGATATTGATGTAGAGAAAATAAAATTGACGAATATAAATTCCAGAAATAGATTCACGAATACGTAGTCAATTTATTTTGACAATGTTGCCAAGGCAAATTAAATGGGTAAAAAATCAAACACAAGATTAGAAGACTTATACTGCCTGGTTTTAAGACTATGAAGCTTATATGTGGGGAAAAAAAAAGAATCATATAAAAGCTACAGTAATGAAGACAGTATGATATTGATGTAGAGAAAATAAAATTGACGAATATAAATTCCAGAAATAGATTCACGAATACGTAGTCAATTTATTTTGACAATGTTGCCAAGGCAAATTAAATGGGTAAAAAATAACCTTTCCAATAGATACTGCTGAAATAACTGTATAGCCATGTGCAAGTAATAACAACAACAATAATAATAATGAGACCCTTACTGCACACAATATAGAAAAAATTAATTTGAAATGAATTACAGATTGAAATGTAAGAGCTAATGCTGTATTTCCAGAAAAAAAAAATTGGAAAAATACTCGGATTTGACAAAGATGTTAAATGACACAAAAATGGCAAATAAAACATGAAAAGATGCTCAACATTATTATGGAAATGCAGAGCAAAACCACAAAGAAATACCACTATGAACCCACTATAATGGTTAAAATAAAAAAGACTGATCATACCAAGTACTAGTGACAATATAGAGCAAAAGGAACTCTCCTATACTGCTGGTGGGAATGTAAAATGGTACGATCATTTTGGCAATTCTTTTAAAAATTAAACATACACCTACCATATGACCCATCCATTCAAATCCTAGGTATTTATCTGAGAGAAATGAATGAGTACATCCACACTAACACTTAAGAATTTTTATAGAAGCTTTCAACAAGGAATGGATAAATACATCGGAATGAACTGATACATGCATCAACACGGACAGATGTCAAAGTAATTATACTAAGTAAAGGAAACCAGACAAAAATGAGTATGATCCCATTTACCTAAAACTGTGGACATTGCAAACTATAGTGACAGAAAGCCTACCATGATGGCCTGGAGGGAGGAATTACAAAGGGGCATGAGGAAATGTAAGGGAAGATGGATTTATTTATTATTTTGATCATGGTGATGGTTTCACAGGTGTATACACATGCAAAATTTATCAAATTGTACATTTTACATGTGTGCAGTTTACCGTATGACAATTACACCTCGATAAGGCTTTAAAAATAAAATGTGACTCACCAACAATATGTTTTAGAATGCTCTTTCCAAAACATCTTCAATAATATACACTGTACCTTCTAAAACAAAAGCTAAACTGTATAGCAAAACATTGGCAATAATATCTGGGGAAACTAGAGTTTTTACCTGTAGGTTCCTCTTCAGTGACAATGATCTGTCCAGTCCAGGGTGCTGAAGGGCGACCTGAACAAAGACAAACATAAAAATCACAAACATTCACAAATGCAGTTTCAACTGCACTGATAAACTGATGAACTGGCTGGATTAGTTACAAATGGGTTTGTGACTAGTTTACTTATGCATTTCCCTAATGAATCTTATTGAACAAGTATACAGTATTTTTGGGGACACGGCCCCTGTCTACAAGGGACTCACAATCTGCTACAGCCTATAATCTGCCTGGACTGACTTTTCTGGGATTGAAATTACACAAGCTAGATAAGTAACTCACGTTCATGTAGCCATTTATTGTGCATCTCCTGAAACATGCAGGCTTTCTCGTCCCTTCTTAAGAAACAGCATGTGTTTGGGAGAAACATTTCTAGAACAAATGTAAGCTCAGTAGTTATTTATCTGTCGTAATGAAAATGAGAGAGGAGAGGGGGAATTGACGCTACAGTAAAGCTTAGCAAAAGCAGCAATTTTTTCCATTACATTTTGAAGTGTTGTCTACAAAGAAAATCAGTTTGGATCCTGAGTAAGGAAAATGGATGAGACAGATGTAAAGTTAAAGAGAAAATTCATTTCTGTGATTCCATAAACATCAGAAAGAGAGAATGGCTCAACTCCTGCTTTAATCAAGGGACTTTTCTCCAGAGTTTGTGCAAATACAGAAGGTAATAAAGAAGATAACTAATTTTCAATTCAAACAAACCTTATTTTGATTGGAATTTATAAAAGAGAAGCAAATGAAAGTATGAGATGGAATTTGAAAATTTAGGGAAAAGGGAAGTCAGATGTTTGGTGAAATGTGATTGGAGAGCAATCGAGGAGGCTGATTAGACACAGCACCAGGGAAAAAAGGTGACATTACTTAGATTTTTTATGATGCCACTAAATGACTTAAGGTAAAGAATAACACTGTGAATATGGCACAGACCAGTAGTCCTCAACTAGGGTAATTTTGCCCTCAGGAGACATTTGGTAGTGTCTGGAGACATTTTTGATTGTCACAATTGGAGAGGGGATGCTACTGGCATCTAGTGAGTAGAGGCTGCTGAACATCCTACAATGCACAGGACATTCTCCCTCCCCCAACAAAGAATTACTGCCTAAAAATGTCAGTAGGACCAAGGTTGAGAAGTCTGGTAAAGACTAAAATGTTACCATCCAACAATCCTTGGAATGTCATTTTACTTGAACCCAATTATTGGGGATGCTCTATGGGTTCCCATGAAACAAATGAAGAGCATAATTTATGTACAATGGCTTTTACGTGGAGACTTGGAGGCTAAATAAATAAAAAGATTGTTTTTGACTGTCTAATATGGAAACTCAAATATAGATCAGATATAACGTTGTAAATCTGTTTTTCCTTTGATATAGAGAAACTCACTCTGCTGAAATATTAATGCTGTAAGGGTGAACTTCAAGGTTAAGAAAGTCACCTTGAGTCAGGAAGAAAATTATATTTGGAATGCATTAATAACAAAATGAATAAAAATGCTCTCCAGCCTCTTTGTTTTCATATTTCATTCTACACACAATGCCTGGAAGTCAGTTTAATAAGGCAAACGTTTCCGAATAAAATAAGATATAATAAACCCCTTAAGAAAATGAATGGATCAAAAAACAAATACAGTACTTTTTTCCAGTTTTTTTCCCCTAGAATTTTCTGATCAAAGGGGATTTCTTATTCTCTTCTCCCTCTAGTGGAAAGGAGAGGAATAACCTTGCAATGAAGCCTTATTCTCACAGTTATTTTTAAGAAGTTTAGGGAAGATCCTGAAAAATGAAAAGTGCTTACTTTTAAGTCTAGCTTTCTCAGCTGGATCCAGAGCAGCCACGGGCTCAGAAACTCGAGATGGCAGGCCTATTCCAGTTTTATTCACAGCTCGAACTCGGAATATATAGGAACGACCTTCTATCAGTCCAGTGACTGGAAAACGAGCAAACTTCACAGGTGTGTCATTGCATTGAGACCAATTATCTGTGCCCACCTCACATCTAAGAGAGTGATTGGAAAAAATATTAAAAGAAGTATGGCTAAACTAATAGCTCTAGCACTGCAAACCCACCCAGTTGCTTCAGATGTCTCTCTGTAAAATATACGACTCAGGTGTGGCCTGCCAGTTATTTAACTGCAGGCACTTAGTCCTGCTCAGATGCAAAGTGTCTTCTTTAGCAAGAAGAAATAAGCCTCAGATCCTTCCTGAACTCATTAGAAGCAGACAGCTGAAGGGCCTCGTGTGTTAAGTGGAGGAGTTTGGGGGCGGGGGGAAACACAGGCAGGTATCTACAATTTTTACACTGGAGAGGCTTACGGGGGTCTTCCCTCAAACATTTCCCTGGCTGATGCCTTCAATACTGCCATTAGTGACTTCTTTCTTTGATTTCATTAGGCATTTTCTTTTAAAAAAAAGTAAGTATTGTTGAGAAAGTTGACACCTTTAAAAGAAACCTATTTACACTGTAGTTTGGAAAATAGCTCACCTTATGTTCTCACTTGGTGGCCATATCTTGTGTGGGTGGAAGGATGAGGGGGTTATTGTAATACGTTTGTTCCTCTAACAGATGAGAAACAGGGTGATTCCCAGGCCTGGCAGGGGAAGATCAAGGACTTGGAAACTCTGATTTTTAATCGAGTGCTTTTACAGCAGTTGGTACCTGAGGATGGAGTGGGTTGCTCCCCAGGAGACAAGTATGACTGTTCGTATCATGCTATTGGCCTGCTCAACAGAGCTTTAGGGGCTCAATGTGTGAATGAATTATACAGCATTAGGATTAAGAAACTCATCATTTTTCACAAGCAGAGCACTTTTAGTTTATATCACTTCCCCAAAATGGCTCTATGTCCAAAATCTATAAGTCCCAAATGATTCTCATGGGTAAAAGGTGGTTGGGATGGCGGGTGTACGTTCCCCTCTTCACCGTTACCTTCCATTCTTTGATTATACACAATAGATATTTTCTTCAATTTTATGTGAAGTATTGTCAAATGTAACTTCAATCCTTACCTTCCGTCCATTTCCCCTAAATCTTTCCCTTGTGCAAATTCTGGAGCTGCTATGGGTGGGACATGGCAGAGAGCTAGGTTAGGACAATTCTTCAAGCTGTACCTGTCTCCAGAGATCCTGCCAGGCCTCGCCCTCTCCCCTATGCAGACACTGTCATGGTGACCCACTGACTTCTAACCCTCATGTGGGCAGAAATAAAGGTGGAGAGCGCTGCTACTGACACTTCTACAGCACGTTGGAACAGAAAGAGCACAGACCTAAGCCAGGCCAAAATTTGAATTCTAGTTCTGCTTCTTACTACCTGAGTGTTGTTAGGAGAATTAGTGTTTTCTCGCTGACATGTGGTCTTGGGCCAGCTACTTATTTCCTACCTGTAATTATAACACCTACCTCAAAGGGTAGTTATGGGTTAGTGGTTAATATATGCAAAGTGTTTAGTACAGTACCATGCATGTAGTAAATGTTAATAAATATTAGCCATAATGTGGTTATTTTTATTATGACTATGGCAAGAGAAGAACAGAATGTACTGATTGTCCCTGGTCTTTCACTGATCAAAGTCTGCAAATCTCTTGGAAATTTGCCAAAGACAATAAAACAGAAACTGAAAGTATGAAAAAGAATCTTCCTAAACCTTCATAATTCATCACTACTAAAGATGAAATCATTTGAAAGCACTATTTCATGTGTATGGTTAAATAGTATACAATTTAATTATAAATACTTCTATGGACAGTATTAATCCCAAGGGGCATATGTTTACTTATTGTAATAAATATGAGGTTTAATATACCTTGGTACAAACCCATTGTACTATAGTAACACAAATTGTCTGTCCCTAGTCGTTTCTATAATCATATTTCAACACTTAAAAATGAAAAGAGAATTGGAGCAACTATTTGAATAGAAACTAAGTCAGAGAACAATGTATTTAGGCCAGCAACCTAAATTTGTTGTCTATATCATCCAAACTCACTGGATAATTAATGTGCACAACCCAGTTACTATAAATATAATAGACTCTTAAGTTTTGCAGAATGTAAATAACAAGAGCTTATAAATAGAGCATAATTTAATACTGTTGGTTTCTGTTATTTCATTGTGTACCTGAAACCACATCTTGCAATGTAAATAAGATTTTGTTAGTATTTCTAAAGTCAATATTCTTAAATTACCAACATATCAGAAATATGGACATTTAATATATTTAATATATTTAATACCAGCATTCTTGCCAAATTAGTGACTTGAGTTGGTAGTCAAATTCAAAGAATCTATCTCTAGAATTTAGGTAGATAGACATGAATATATAGACATAGATAGAGTATATATACACATATATTTTATATGTATATATGTATGTTCATATACTATATATATGAATAGAGAGAGGGAGAAAGAGACAGAGATGAGGAGAGAAACAGAGACAGAGAGAAAGAGGGCAGGAGAAGACCAGAAAAGAAAATATTTCACCTAGAAATGATGGGAGAAACCAAGCATGCATCTTTATGGCCAAATAACTGAAGTTAGACTGAGCACTAACTTATCAATAAAATATCCCAGAATAGGACTCCCTCCATCTACAGCTGGCTGTTTCCAAGAGATGATGATATAATCTTTGTTGGCATCCAAGCACACCACATCCAAGGGAGAGGCTGGGGCTCCTTCAATCTCCGCATCAGCATCTGTGGAGATATAGAGGGACCCATTAATTCTCTCAGATGTGCTCTGCCAGCTGGGCAGGCTGAGGCCCTAGTGCACACTTTTCTCAGCACATCACTGTAGTGGCTGCATCTTTGGCCCACGAGAGCAAGCTTCAAATCTTGTAATTTATTTACCAACATAACAATGTGTGCTTTTCACCTTCAGTAGGAAGAACATTATGTTAAAAAACAGGGCTCTGCAAAGAACCCATAACCTTTGCCTCTTGACCTTTGCTGCCCAAATGTTCCAAAAACATTCCAAGTCACTGCAACAATTAAAAAAAAGTTCGAGGAGAAAAAATGGCGACGGGTATGGAGCGCCCGTGTCAGGAAATTTAAAAAACAGGGCTCTGCAAAGAACCCATAACCTTTGCCTCTTGACCTTTGCTGCCCAAATATTCCAAAAACATTCCAAGTCACTGCAACAATTAAAAAAAAGTTCGAAAAAATTAATATGGAGATGTTGGAGATTGCTATCAGAAAAGTCAGTTGTGCCAGAAAGGCTGCTTATTCTTAAGGCATTGATTGTGCAATGTTACTGAGTAACTATGAAAGGCACCAAGGGGGACACACAGCCCTTCCTGTTACCTTCTGGATGCATCTACAAGGGAATAAGAACCATGGAGCTTTGCCTATCCCTATGCTGGGCACTACCATTTTGAAGGAGAAAGGAAAACATTCGTTTTAATCAAATGATTGTTCCCAAACTGATGATACTTAGGAAATTAACTCTGATGCAATACCCACATCTGAGCTTAGCTTATCTGAGTTCAGTAAAGGTCCAGGATAATACCGGAAACAGAGAACACTTATGAAATGGGATCCTCTCACAGTGCGGTCCCCTTAGGCACAGCTAACTTAGGGAATCAGGGCTGTTTTTAGGAGAAGGGGAAGGAGAATGAAAATATTCAGTTAGTAACCTTTTAAGTGAGCGTGATTAAGACAAGAGGTAGGGCCCCCGGGGGAGGGAGTCCACATGTGCCAGTTCCTCCTGGCATTTGACCAACCCTTTCATAAACGGTCTTAGTAGAAAGGGCTGAGACATGTGGGAGCCACTCATGCAATGGAAAACACCTATGTGATGGAACAAACACTTTCCTTGCCTATGATCTACACTTCTGTAATTCTTATGAGTTCCTAAGCCATTTGAGGACATGGCAGAAATATTCGTATACTTCTGAAATTCATAGGTTTGCATTACCTGTGAAGAGCTCAAGTCACTTGGGTTTTGGACACTGTTTCTGCCCCGTGAACCAGCAGGAAAGTGTCTCCAGGCAAATATCTCCTGCAGAAGTGTTATAGGAGAATGTAACTAACTCATCTTACAGAAGCTGAATGCAGACTCCCTCATGCCACACAACAGAAATGAGCATCTTGGTGCAGAAAAACTTCTTTCCTTCCAGGCTCTGAGAGCCTGGTCTAGGCGTCTCACCACGACGGCTATCCCAAGAGCAGAGCTAGAATGGCAGTAGGGATGCTGAGGCAGAAGAGGCACAGCTAGAAAGCCACTTGGCCACCAGGGGGACAGCTGGCAACCTCTAGCCTTTTGCTATAATGTGACACCCAGCGAGCCCTGCACTGATAGAGCGCACAGCCCTGCACTGATAGAGCACAGTTCAGTTAGCTGAGTGTCTGTTGAATAGATGTACAACAGCAGGAATACACTGTCACAGAGCCTGGCAGACAGTGGGCATTCATGGGGCCATTTTTCAACATTTTTATAACATTGATTGGAATATGTCCCTCACAGGGCGAGCTTGATGGTCTTTCAAGTTACTAAGGCATTTATTCATTCATTTTTTCATTCAGTCAGCTAGTGCTCTTTAGGTGCTAAATGTGAAAGTTAAAAAAAATAAGGATCATTCTTTCTCCCAAGAAGTTACAATACAGTGGGGGGAACAAAATATACTTGGAATGACAGGAGAACACCTGTGAAGCAACGTCACCTAGTGTTTGGCTTCCAGAAGCTGCCATCCACAGTTCACAGTCCTCATTCAGTTGACATTAATCCTCCTCTACACCACCGCCCTTCCCTTTCCCAACCCTCCAAATAGCCAAACTTTTTGTAGGTTGGATTAATTGGGTCAAAGATTAACGAGAGGCTGGGGCTCCTTCAATCTCCGCATCAGCATCTGTGGAGATATAGAGGGACCCATTAATTCTCTCAGATGTGCTCTGCCAGCTGGGCAGGCTGAGGCCCTAGTGCACACTTTTCTCAGCACATCACTGTAGTGGCTGCATCTTTGGCCCACGAGAGCAAGCTTCAAATCTTGTAATTTATTTACCAACATAACAATGTGTGCTTTTCACCTTCAGTAGGAAGAACATTATGTTAAAAAACAGGGCTCTGCAAAGAACCCATAACCTTTGCCTCTTGACCTTTGCTGCCCAAATATTCCAAAAACATTCCAAGTCACTGCAACAATTAAAAAAAAGTTCGAGGAGAAAAAATGGCGACGGGTATGGAGCGCCCGTGTCAGGAAATGGCACGATCCTGAGAGCTGTGAGCTGTGATACCAGAGTATTGACTGCATTTCTGAGAGCAACAAAGGACGAATAAATCTTTCAACAACGATCCTACATCGACAAATAAGCGGCAGCGGGTTCGAGTATATGATTAAAAATGTTGAAATTCCTTTTAGTTCCATAACTCAGAGATAACTACTACTAATATATTGGCCTAAATCTTTTTAGATTTTGTCCTATATTTAGAAACTCAAAAATGATTATTTTTAAATAAAATGGGATTGTACTATATAGTTTCACATAAATGTTTTATTCTTGATATATTTTCATATCAATAAATACAGGTATACATCATTAGTTTTCACTGCTATGTAGAATTCCATTGTTTATAAGCAGCATTTATTATACTTTATTTTACAACTTCCATACTGGTGGATACCTAGATTTCTTCCAGTCTTCCCCAATACAAACATTTTTTCACCTTTGTCCACTTAAATTTCTAGAACTGGAATTGTTGGAAATACGTGTTTTCAATATATACTGACAACTCACCCTGAGAACAGTTGAACTAATTTACTCACCAGCCATGTACAGGAGAGTCTATTCCCCCATTCCTTTACCCCAGTGGATTTTTACAATCTTCTAATCTTTTCAGTACGATGGATAAAAATGCTATCTCATTTCAATTTCCTTGCTTTGATTACTAGTAAAATTTTATCATACATTAATTTGCTATTTGCAATTCTTCTTTCATGACATTTCTATTCTACCCTTTATCATTTTATCATTTCTGTCTCTCTCTTTCTGTGCGTGTGTGTGAGAGAGACAGAAAGAAAAGGAAAGAATATATAAAAGCCTAGAAAAATATGTAACAAAATGATAACATTGTATATCTCTGGATGATAGATTTAGGGATTGCTTTTCTCTTTTTAAAATTTTTTATTTATATTATCTATTTTTTCACAACGAACACATATTATCTACGTAATAAAATCCTGGCCAAATGTGTACAGCTCTGCAATGTGTTTCTTTAGACATATGGAACTTTATACACTAATCATTCTGGTGTGGAAGCTATTTTCTAAGCAGCAAAAATGCCACTGTTCTAAAACAGTGCACTGAAATGGCCTCATGAAGCTCAAAAGATACAAAGTCACATAAAATATCATTTAAAACACTTTGGCAGTTTCTTAAAAAGTTTAACATATATTTATCCATTTGTACAAATTCCATCTGTAGGTATGCATCCAAGAGAAATGAAAACATAGGCACATAAATTTGAACACAATGTTCATAGCAGCTTCATTCATAACCAAGAGTGGAAACAATCCAACTGTCTATCAACTGGTGAATATATAAACAAAATGGGGCATATCCATACCTTCGAATACTATTTAGCAATAAAGAGGAACAAGCTGCTAACATGTGTTACAACGTGAATGAACCTCAAAACACGCGAAGTGAAACGAGTTAGGCATAAGTGATCACATATTTCTAGAAATGTCCAGAAAGGCAAATCTATAGAGATGGAAGGTAAATTAGTAGTTGCCAAAAGCTCGACTAGAAGTAAGAGCAGGAAGCAGGCACAAGAAATCACTTTGAGGTGATGAAAATACTCCAAAAGTGGCCTGTGGGTGATGGTTGCACAACTTTGTAAACCTAACATCAGTGAATCTTAATGTATGTAAATTATACCTCAATAAAGATGTTTTTAAAAACCTTAAATCATTTAAAATGAGCTTACACGTCAAATCTTTTTCTAAAACTTGTTAAATTCTAAATGTGATTGCTGAATTTATCTTTCCAATTTTGTCTTTTCCATTGATCTTTTAAATTTTCTCACATCAACATCTGATAAATTTTATAATCTTTCAGTTCCCTTAGTTTGTGGATTTGAAAACTGGCTGAAGTATAAATTTCAAATCTCAACTCCTTCCTCCTGATTATAGTTAGTAATGGGAAGTCCGGCCTAAGGAGGCAGAGAGGCACAATTCTGGGTGTGGGTTCTCAGAAATGCTGTTGAGGAGGAACCATAGACTATGCCAGAGTTCCCAGAAAAAGTCCATAAAGGAAGCACCACGGCATGACGAACTTTTTTTGGAATAGCCAGAGGTGTTCTCTGGTTCAGGTGAAACATTGGAAAGTGGAGGCAAAGACTTGGCTTATTTAGTCCTCATCTAGCAAGGTTTATCCAGGTGATCTGGCTAACCAAACTTACTTGCTGATGAGCTCCATGTGTCAGTTCTCACTGTGACTTACCCAGAAGACTAGCTCTCTTCCCTCAGCAATATTGCAAGGTTTATCCAGGTGATCTGGCTAACCAAACTTACTTGCTGATGAGCTCCCATGTGTCAGTTCTCACTGTGACTTACCCAGAAGACTAGCTCTCTTCCCTCAGCAATATTGACTTTTCCCAGGATGCTGTTCTGGAGAAGACAGTCTGAGACATTTGTCAGATGTTATTGATGGTCACGCATGTTTATCAGTTGCTGCTCCATAGCAGAATTCAATGATCATCTGTTATTTTTCAATACTGGTGTGATATAGACTGCTAACTGTCCACGGTATCCATTCTTCCTGATTCCTTTTAGAACCCCTGAGTGCTAGCAGGGAATGTGGCTGGGTACCCAGAGACTAGACATACAAGCTTCCCTCACCATGAGGTGTGTGCATGTGCTAAGTGGTCACCAAGCAAAAGCGAAGTGTGCGCCCTGCCTCTGCCCCTCCACTTCCTTTCTTTCCCCTCCCATAGGCTGGAACAGGATCATGGGACAGCACCACTGGCACTGTGGAATAACAACACAGATGGGACCTGAGACACTGAATGATCACCCCCTACCTCTGGACTGATAGGCACAGGACAGAAATAAACTTTTTGTTGTTTCATTTTAGCAGTTCAGCCCATATGCTAATTAAAATCCTGGGTTAAGTGTCAGAAGACCTATAACCTAGTTCCACTTCTGCTTCTAACTAACCAAGGCTTTTGGTAAATCATTGTACTTTTTTGAGCTTTAGTTTCTGCATCTTAAAATTAGGGGGTTGGACTAGAATGGAAATTCTAACTTTTTTTGTGCCACAGACCCCTTCGTCAAACTAGTAAAGCCTAGAGGTCCCTTCTAAGAAAAATGCTTTTAAGCGCATAAAATAAAATACATGAGATTACAAAAGAAATCAATTTGGGGAGTCAATGTATCCCAGTTAAAGACACCTGGATGAGGGCCGGCCGGTGGCGCACTGGATAGTGTGTCGCTTGGGAAGCGCGGCGGCGCTCCCGTCCAAGGGTTCGGATCCCACATACAGACCGGCTCCAGCTCACTGGCTGACCGAGGTGCGGGCGCAACACCGAGGCTTGCGATCCCGTTGCCGGTCCCGGTCCGGTACGGGGGCAACACTGAGGGTTGCGATCCGTTGCCGGACACGGAAAAAAGACAAAAAAAAAAAAAAAAAGACACCTGGATGATTAAAGTTCCATTTTGATCAAAATGCCTATGATTTGATGATTCTCTTTAGTGCATGAGAAATAAAAATCAGTGAGTCTACCTGCATTGTTTATAGTTTTAATTTTCTGTATATTATAACATTTTGCCGTTTTAAAAGCCTTTCTGGCTGGGGCAGTCTCAACTCTTAGAGATAGCCCAGCGGGAGCATGCCTCTGATATGTAAACTAACCAACCTAAGAACCACACCTCCTTTATCTGACCCATATACCCCAGGAAGCGATATTCCTCTGCCTTTATTGCCCCAGGGCTAGGTACCAAGCAACTAGGGACCACATGTATAGTTTAAAGCTTGCTGAAATTATCACACGAGCCAGTCCAGAGCTGTTTACCTGTCCTGCCTTGCCTTTACTGCAGAAACTCCAGTAAAGATCAGGGTCTAAACTCTCCTCTTGCTCCTGCCCCTTCTGCCTCTTGACCCACCCTGGTGCTTTCCCATGTGCACCTGCGTGGCATGGCCTGCCTCCTGTCTCTAGGAGCTGTGAGGATAATAAATTTTGTCTTTTTGAGCCTCTCCTCTGTCTCCTCTTGTGGCTGTACCTGACTGACCATCACATAAAAGAACGTAGAAAACGTCCTGAAACTGTTTTAATTAACAGTTGAAATTAACTTTCTGAAACTGTTAATTGTCTTCCAAAGTGCTAGGATCCCATGCAGAAATAATATTCCACTTCTACATTCAAGACACCACTGAATATAGTTTGTCTTAAGAATTACGTTGTAGCACCTTGTTTCCTAGTTCATCAAAACCGCAGCTACAAAGAAAGGGCCTGGAATGAAATAATAAATTTGCTCCCTGAAATACTTATTAAAGAGTAAATCCAAAAATTACAAATCCCTCTTTTGTAGAAGCTTCTGTAAACTGAGGTGCTTTCTGTATCATTAGGACTTAGTATCTCCACTTGAACACCTACAGAGAACTGCACTAGTACCTCAATGAAGATGAGGAAAGTCCTGATATTAGCAACCATAACATGGTCCAGTAACCGGGTAGCCTCAGGGTTGGTGCCTTCAAGGTTCACCTTTTACACTAGGTCCAATTTTACGGGAAATTAATATTCGTATTGCAGGTAATCTGGAAGAATTTTCACCATTACAAAAATATGTTTGGATAGATTGATTTGACATCAGTATTTTAAATACTGGGTGTTCTGCGTTTTGCTAGGTCTTACCTCGAACAAAGACATAAGCGCTATATTGCTCATAATAGTCTCCCATTCGTACACGGATTGTATAGAGGCCTTCATCTTCTTTGTTGAGATGAGAAAATGTCAGTGTTGCCCGCTCTCCACTCCAATGTGTTTGCACCCATTTTGATGGAGAAACAGGTGCTCCTAGAAATGAAAAGGAAAGTAAGCAAATTAACTTACTTTTTCCTCCATTACTCCCTTTTTCCCTCCTCTCCATTCCTCTCTCTTAGCCTTTTCTATACTGAAAACTATGGAAAGTAAGCAAATTAACTTACTTTTTCCTCCATTATTACTCCCTTTTTCCCTCCTCTCCATTCCTCTCTCTTAGCCTTTTCTATACTGAAAACTATCTGACTACTAGAGGAAGTCTCTGGGACTTTGAGCCATTCTGCTATGTATATATTAGGAAAAATACTAGAACAGAAATGAGAGGACCAAGGCCAGATACATAATTTGCAAGGCTCAGTGAAAAATTAACTTGCAACTCCCCTTGTCCAAAAGCAGAAAAAAAGTGCAGTTAAAGGTGCTAAAATTGAAGCCTTTTTTCTTTAAAAAATATTTTATTACTTATGAAATATAGTAGGGGTAATACAAATTGCAAAAATAAAAAATACTTTGTTGTAAAATAATAATACTTTACTGATGTGCTATCTTGACAAATAATAAGATATTTCTGGTTTGCTTTTCTGCAAATTTGTTTATAAGGTCATCAAAATATATACTTTTAGCAACTTCACTTTAAATTATTATAATTGAAAGTCAGAGGAGAGGAGGGTTAAGGAGAAATTTGGTAAAAGTCACAAAGAGTAATTATGATTTGTAATAATGAATATGCTAATAATATTGGTTTGATCATTACGTATTGTACACAAATAATGATAGTCAACACTGTACCCCCAAAATATGTATAATCAATTATGCTTCAATAAAGAAGTTTTTTAAATACACCCCAAAAATATGTATAATCAATTATGCTTCAATAAAGAAGTTTTTTAAATAATAAAAATTTTAAAAATCAATATATTTGAAAGCAATATCAGTCACTCTTTGCAAATGAAAGCTCACAAATGAATTTTGATAATTTTTTAGTTTGAGTGAGAAGGCTCTTTCTGCTGATATAACTATTACAGGAGCTGTTAAGAGTGTTATATAGGCTATAATAACATGGGGTTAATTTTCTGATACTCTGTTTCAAAATGTAAATTTAGTATTCTAAAACTGATTATTCATGATGAATAATTTTTCTAAAAAAATTTATCTCCAATCAGTTTTATATAAAGCTGAATTTAATTTTAAATGTAAATTTAGGCACAATTGCATTTTAATGTTTCCTGTCATGTCCTCTAACTTTAAACCAAAAATGACTTTGTCATATGTATATAATTCAAAATGCCCGTTTATGCATTCTATCACTGTATCTTTGATTACACCTAAAAATTAATTTTAAAACTGTCCTCCTCCTCGTTAGTAATTGGTTCATCCTAAGTTTCATATGAAAATCATGTTCTTTTGCATCAAATCCTACAATCTTTCAGTTAAATTTGTATTTCTAATTCTCAAAACCAGCGATTCTAAACTCTGAAGAATTCTAACAACGGCCTTATCTGCTTTATTGCAATGCTTTTATTTCGTAATATTTCGCTGGCAAAGTTTACTGCCTGATCGCCAGCAGTTCCTGTGCTGGTGCTCTGGCTGGGGAGTTAATAATGCCGGTGCAGATCCCACAGAGATGCGTTCCGGAGTTGGACATGCCAGCTGGCTGCCTGCTGTGTGTTCCCCTGCTGCCTCCACGTGGAGCCCCTCCTCTCCTCTGGGGCCACAGCCACATTGCCACAACTGCCGCCGTTCCTAACGCCAATCTGGGTCCCGGTCCCGGTCCCAGCCATCACCTCGGAACCCCACGGTGCCCCAGACCGCCNAGAAAGTAAGCAAATTAACTTACTTTTTCCTCCATTACTCCCTTTTTCCCTCCTCTCCATTCCTCTCTCTTAGCCTTTTCTATACTGAAAACTATCTGACTACTAGAGGAAGTCTCTGGGACTTTGAGCCATTCTGCTATGTATATATTAGGAAAAATACTAGAACAGAAATGAGAGGACCAAGGCCAGATACATAATTTGCAAGGCTCAGTGAAAAATTAACTTGCAACTCCCCTTGTCCAAAAGCAGAAAAAAAGTGCAGTTAAAGGTGCTAAAATTGAAGCCTTTTTTCTTTAAAAAATATTTTATTACTTATGAAATATAGTAGGGGTAATACAAATTGCAAAAATAAAAAATACTTTGTTGTAAAATAATAATACTTTACTGATGTGCTATCTTGACAAATAATAAGATATTTCTGGTTTGCTTTTCTGCAAATTTGTTTATAAGGTCATCAAAATATATACTTTTAGCAACTTCACTTTAAATTATTATAATTGAAAGTCAGAGGAGAGGAGGGTTAAGGAGAAATTTGGTAAAAGTCACAAAGAGTAATTATGATTTGTAATAATGAATATGCTAATAATATTGGTTTGATCATTACGTATTGTACACAAATAATGATAGTCAACACTGCACCCCAAAAATATGTATAATCAATTATGCTTCAATAAAGAAGTTTTTTAAATAATAAAAATTTTAAAAATCAATATATTTGAAAGCAATATCAGTCACTCTTTGCAAATGAAAGCTCACAAATGAATTTTGATAATTTTTTAGTTTGAGTGAGAAGGCTCTTTCTGCTGATATAACTATTACAGGAGCTGTTAAGAGTGTTATATAGGCTATAATAACATGGGGTTAATTTTCTGATACTCTGTTTCAAAATGTAAATTTAGTATTCTAAAACTGATTATTCATGATGAATAATTTTTCTAAAAAAATTTATCTCCAATCAGTTTTATATAAAGCTGAATTTAATTTTAAATGTAAATTTAGGCACAATTGCATTTTAATGTTTCCTGTCATGTCCTCTAACTTTAAACCAAAAATGACTTTGTCATATGTATATAATTCAAAATGCCCGTTTATGCATTCTATCACTGTATCTTTGATTACACCTAAAAATTAATTTTAAAACTGTCCTCCTCCTCGTTAGTAATTGGTTCATCCTAAGTTTCATATGAAAATCATGTTCTTTTGCATCAAATCCTACAATCTTTCAGTTAAATTTGTATTTCTAATTCTCAAAACCAGCGATTCTAAACTCTGAAGAATTCTAACAACGGCCTTATCTGCTTTATTGCAATGCTTTTATTTCGTAATATTTCGCTGGCAAAGTTTACTGCCTGATCGCCAGCAGTTCCTGTGCTGGTGCTCTGGCTGGGGAGTTAATAATGCCGGTGCAGATCCCACAGAGATGCGTTCCGGAGTTGGACATGCCAGCTGGCTGCTTGCTGTGTGTTCCCCTGCTGCCTCCACGTGGAGCCCCTCCTCTCCTCTGGGGCCACAGCCACATTGCCACAACTGCCGCCGTTCCTAACGCCAATCTGGGTCCCGGTCCCGGTCCCAGCCATCACCTCGGAACCCCACGGTGCCCCAGACCGCCCAGGTGCTCCTGTGCGCGCCCACAGGCCAGGCCCGCTGCTTGGCTGCACGCCCACTGGGAACTGCGCCTGCGCGCGTCTGCACTGGCACATTGCACATCTCCTCTGGTCATGTGCACGCTCCACAGTCCCTTTGGACTTCACGTATAACACACAAGTTCAAAGATGCCATGATTGTGATTGAGAGACGTTGACAGCAGAGCATTAAACCAAGCCCAGGTCCCCTTCCAGGAGTGGTCCTATGAGACCGCACAGTTCGCATGCCCAGAAATTCAGCCCTGCCAAGGACCCATTTCAGTCCCACCTTTTTCATTAACTAATTAGGCAACTTTCAGGCAAATCACTTAACCTCTTTACCCCTTATGGTTTGATTGTTTTGGTTTGTTTTTTAAGAATGAAATGGAGTTTACAAGTAGCTTACAGGAAATAACACAAAGTATTATCGTTAACTATTTTTTTCTTTCATTTTTCTATATTTTTTCCGAAGTTTATTTTATAAAATAGTTAAACAGAAAAACTACATGATAACCTTACATTAGTAAGAGATTACATTACACAGTAGCTAAATGTGTTCTGGGATTTTTAAGTTTTTAAGTGTTTTAAACTATGATCCATTCTAGAAATAAACCTCGTGATGACTTTAAGAAAAATTAAAAGGGAAAATGGAGAGTC